GGTCGTTATTAATTAATTGTATATACATTTTAATTCGTCTTTTTTTTTTTATTCTTCCATAGCAATTTTAATTACTGTATTATCCGGTAGCCTTAATGTCTGCCCATACGTTTTCGTCGTTACATCTTGCCAAAGACTAATCAATACTTCATACTAAAAAAAAAACTCTGTCGGCACTGCCACAATTGAAGATCTTGCTGTTTAATTAATCAAAATGGATGTTTTGATCGATAGATGACATTATTATTATTAACAATGATAATAATTTTATTCAGAAGTACCAGGTTGGTGTCCGGCGGGGGATAGTTTTTACCATATTGTAGTTAAGTTGTAGCTTGAGCCTTTTTGTTGCTGTTATTGCACTGTGTTTTTACAGGACCATAATGTAAAACAGCGGTAAGATCTCGCCTGTATATGTTATCTTGCATAAAGATGTTTTAAATAAAATAAAAAAAATAAAATAAAAATAAAAATAGATGGATTTATATAGCGCAAATAAACGATGTTATTGATAATTGATTAGGTCTAAAATAATAATAATAATGATAATAATAATGATAATAATAATAATAATAATACTAGTAATTATAACAGTGCTCGAACAATACTTTATATTCTATGATAATTTTGTCCACATAAAACTCATGTTTTCAATGTTATGTAACGTAATGTAATGCTATGTTATGGTTCATAAATAATATATAAAATAATAATAATAGTAATAATAATAATAATAATAATAATAATAATAATAATAATAATAATAATAATAATAATAATAATATTAATGCTGGAATAATACTTTAATAATAAATTAATAATACTTTGATATACATATTTACGATAATTTGGTTAATGAGATATTTGTTGATCATAATTTATACAGCATATAATAGGTAAAATTTATATAAAATCTGTTTTTTTTTTAAATATCTATTTTATTCTGTTTAAAATCTTATAAATTTAAAAGTTTATTGTAAATTCTATGATATTCAATCCGCATAATTTATGTTTTCAATTATTTATGCATTTTAACAATTGAGTGGGCATAACGCTGGACGTAAATGTAATAAATAAACCAAAAACATCGCCAATGTGTTTTCGTGTATGCAAATGCTAATACCATTGCGCGCGAATACCGCGTGTTATTGATAAGCAGAGGTCAGGATGGTTCACAGGAATATCACTGAGTAAAATTCAAAAAGAGGAGAAACGGAAAAAACCTCTTATTGATTTTAAAAGTACTGTTCATGCAAAGAGACTAATTTACAGTGACTGTTTTATGTTTATCTCATTTGAGTGTCATGGTTCGAATACGTCACAGGCTAATAAGTAGAAAATAAATCATTATTTTTATGAATGTTACTTTACATAAAATATATAGCGGACATGAATATGATTACCAAGATAAATTGAAAAAAAACTTTTAATGATGAGTATTTTAGTGGCAGATTTAAGGAAGCCCAGCCGGCTCACCCTCACAATTTTTTTTTTCAAAATTTAAATGAAAAAAAAAAAGAAAATTATATTCAAATTTAAGTCTGAGGGTGCTATTTCCTGCCAACTAGGTGCCATAATCATAAATTTTCTTACCTCAGCCACACCCATGGTGGGGCTGAGGTGGTTGTGAAATCACGGCTTTGAAGCTGTCTCTTATACACATCTAGATGTGTATAAGAGACAGGGAGTCACTAGTCCACATTTCAAGCGCCCTGAGCATCTTACATTAGATGGATTTGTGCGCTATAAAACTACACTATTATTATTATTACTATTATTGTTCATGCAAAGAGACTAATTTACAGTGACTGTTTTGTTTATCTCATTTGAGTGTCATGGTTCGAATACGTCACAGGCTAATAAGTAGAAAATAAATCATTATTTTTATGAATGTTACTTTGCATAAAATGTATAGCGGACATGATTATGATTACCAAGATAAATTGAAAAAAAACTTTTAATGATGAGTATTTCAGTGGCAGATTTCAGGAAGCCCAGCCGGCTCACCCTCACAATTTTTTTTTTCAAAATTTAAATGAAAAAAAAAAGAAAATTATATTCAAATTTAAGTCTGAGGGTGCTATTTCCTGCCAACTAGGTGCCATAATCATAAATTTTTTTACCTCAGCCACAACCATGGTAGGGCTGAGGTGGTCTACACTTCATCTGTAAAAGCCCCTCCCTGGGCCCCCTCTATTTCGAATTCCTGGATCCGTCACCTCATAATAACATAAGCATAATAATGGTAGATAGAGCGCATATTATGGAGACATACACACACCCATACCCCCCCCCCCTCCCCCTACACACACACACACATATATATATAGTGAGTATATCAAAGAAGCTTCTACTTTAAACAATTAAACAATAGCAGGACTACAAATCACAATAGTAAGACGGTATTATCCATCGTACTTCGAGAAATCACAGTAACTATATTATTGTAATGCTTGGACTGATGTACTTAATTTGTATTTTGTACCTGATGTGTGTGGGCAGTCTTTGGCAGCTGTCCATAAAAAACAAGGTTTGTATGAATAAATGTATAATATGGAATCTTTTGAAGTTTTTCTTACTTTTGTTTTATTTCACTCATAATCGGTTGAGATGATTTTCACAACGATTACCTTGATATAGGATATAGGACTTTATGTATACACGCCTCTTCTGTGCATTGAGAGTATTTAATCAGTTAAACCATGGAGTAAATATATTATTTCCACCATGGAAACAGGAAACAGTTGTGAGACCAGCACAGATGGTAAATATTCAGTAGTGTTAGAGCAATAACTCAGTTTAAAAATTTTATGTGTGTTTGAATAACATTTTATAGGTCGTTACGTTGGTTAATACAATAATAGTGGAAATAATTTGTAATTTATTCAATCGGTACATCGTGTGGTGTAAGCAGAGTTTTGTGCCATGTTTTCATTGAAAAAAAAAAAACTAAATAAGTCGTCTACTTTAAATGCTATTAACGTTATTGAAAATTTTCGTGAAATATCTGGCTTAAAAGTAAACAAGGTTAAATCTAATTTTCTTACTAGTGACCACCCCCCACCCTCCCCGTCTTTTAAGAAGCGTTCCACCGGCTCTATTTAAAACCCTAAATTGTATGCCCCCTGGTCCACTTTCGAAGGGTTTTCATCGGCACCTGGCAACGCCCACGTACGCTCTCATCGGAGGAAACCCCCATCCCCTTTCAGGATATAGAACCCCCATTGGGCAATTTCTGGCGCCAACACTGGATATAAAAGCAATATATAGATGTACTTAAAGCAGCTTGTAACATTGTGTTTTATTTACTATTATCGTAGTTGCGACTTACATAGCGCAATACATGGTATGAGATGGGATGAAGTGCGACGAATTACAAGAAGAAAACCTCGACTCATCAATGAGAAATATGTATGTATAATAGAGTTTTTTTTCAACATAATATATTTAAATTATAATCACAACAAATGATAAATAATATTCAAATAAAATAAGTAAAAGTCTTGTCGATAAAACTTCATCACGGTAGGTTAAATCCTACATTGCTGGAGTGTGTGTCAGTTAACACTTGATGTTGTGTTATTGCTTCTTTGTCTGATGAAGTTTGGAAGCATCATAAATGACTTTACGATTTACACTCCGGTGTTCAAAGAATATATAAGAAAGTTGGAAAAACTACCCAAAAAGTCTAACAAGTCAGAAGGTGATATAAACTTTAAAACAAATTGTAAGTATTTGGCGTCTTCCCAAAATTCTGATGATTATTTATTATCATATGCCAAATGAAATTTTAAAATGCAATAATAAAACTTACAAATTCGTGTAAAAAATGGTCGTAAAATTTGATAACAATGTACCACTAAAATCCATTATAAATATTTTTTTAGAATTTATACACCAATTCTGTTTTAAGTTGTTTGTTTTCAATATTATAACTTCTTTATAACTGTTTCATTACAATGAATATGTTTTAAAATTGTGCTGTCTAACCTTTCCAAGTTTGATCTATGGACAATCAATAAAAGATTCTGAATTGTTACAAGTTGACCAGACCTGTTGCTGCATGTTATGCTTCTGATACTATATATACAGTTCTGATCGCTATATAAACAGAGAGCAGCAAGTTTAGATAGCTGTAGGACAAAACATTGTCATTATAATGTTTTGCCTCACAGCTATTTACACCGTCACTCCAACGTTGTTGGTAACTTTTTAGCTGACGAAATGTGTATGCAAAGATTCTTGTGTGTGCATTATAAAATGATAAGAAGCATATAAATATACTCAAGACGTAAAATCAATTGTCGATTGAGAATGACGTCAGCCTGATTAGTCCAATATTATTAATCCCAATGTTTTGAATACTCCTCTTTGAATTGTTTTATTGACAGTGACTAATCTAATATTAATATAATCATTTTAACATTTTAATCAAAATAAAAACTGACTCAAAAAGAAGATTTGTGAACGAAGTTCGGTGGAAGGAGGCTGGGTCGCTAAGGCAATATGGCTGGATTATAGGTCCTCATATATCATACCTCATTTCAGACAAGTCAAGCACCCCCTCCCCCACCGGCTAGCCTCGTCGGGCAGTCGGACCAAAAAAAAAAAGACCTACACCAAGCCAAAACTTGTTTTTCATAGTGGTTGAGTGCCATTTACGGCCATCCAGAGGTCCCTGTTTAAACAAAATTTTATTTCCCAAATCCTCCCCCTTCTCATGCAAACCAGCTCAAGCCCCCTCTTAGACAGCTTATCCCCAGAAAATGTGTCCTAGGGCTGCCACTGTGTGGCAGACGTAGGGAGGACATGAGGGCCGAGGAAGCCGACAGGTTTCTCCACGCTGTTCTGTTGGCTGCTGTCGTAAGGATTTCTGAAAGACGGTCTTGCCTATTTCTTGATGCCATCAAGCCAATGATAACGAAGTTGTGGTATACAATGCCAGTAATAAATGCGAAAATAAGATAAAAATTGACAAAAGTCGCACAATAATTATTTGATAAAAAACAAATTTGAACCGCCCACTTTATAAACTAAGTAGGAAAGTATACTTAACGAGTATACAATATTAATGGAAATAGTCTGGTTAATGAAAATTGTATATACCTGTATTAAAGAAGGGAAACTTGCTTGCAGAATTCATTTACATGCTGCAAATAAGGATAATCAGAGGCAAAACGTTTTTTTTTTTGTTTTTTTTTTATGGATATGATGACGGATGACAAGTGTGAGAGTAATATGCGAGCAAGAAGCCATTGACTGGAAACGTGGAGCCACTGAGGCACCGGACCTTGGCAAAAATTACTAAAGGGTGGATTTGATGTTTGTGTATTACCAGACGAGGGTCTGGGAGGGTGTTGATAAACAACAGCGTTAAAAACGTGCTTGTCGATATTTCAATTACTTTTAGAAAGAGGTTTTTGAAAAAAAAGTACATTATAGGCCTATATTTCATCATACCGTATCATGAAGCCTACGTAAATATATGACTGAGGGATATAACATGAATAGATTCAAAGACGGTATACACAAATAATAGAATCATCATCAATGCAGTGAAGCAGATCTCAAATTTATGAAGGTGTTGTACAAACAAAATGTTTACTTATTGCCAACAATAAGAAACATGAATAATGTCAAACAAAATAATGTAACAAAAGCACTTTATAGTACAATGTACTCTCGAGAGACCATGAGTGGTAGAGTAATACTGACCTGAATTATGAAGACTGATATTGTGAGTGCTATTAAAACTGTTCTCACAAATAGTGTACCAAGTCGTGATCGTATTTCATATGAAGATATTAAATCTCATTATAATAGGCGTAGATATCAACAGATAAACAGTCTTGTGGTAATGCTATAATTTTATTTTTCATTTTTGAACGTTTAAGAATGTGAAAATATAGTTTCCTTAACACCTTAAACAACTGGGCCATTGAGGCTTTATAGCAATTAATTCATCACACTTTAGCACATACAAAGTGCAGAAAACAGAAAAGCCATTTGAAATAGGCGAGAAGACACTCCAAATTCCTCCCTCGATTATCCGCCCGCCATGGTGCCTTGTAGCCAAACAGGAGTGCTTTTTTGCTCACCCCACCAATTCCTCCTGCAAAGGTTTGAATTCGCCCCTACATAAGCATTGGGGTTTTTTTTATTCTATCATTGTAATTTTATTTGTTTCTTTTTGTAGCTCGGCATGACGTCATTACAAATGATTGTGCTGGCCAAAGCACCAGAAAATCTCGTGCTTGAAATTTTAGAAGACGCAGAAAAGGAAGTTATTGATGACGTAAATTTGAAGGTGGTAAGTGAAATTAAATGTTATTGCAATATATACAAAGAATCCTGATGATGACATAATTAATGTCGAAATATTGAATCCCAACACGATGGCGTGTATTTCAATACTTGGAGTATGTATTATACTTTCTTATACAAAGAATAGACATGATATTGTAATGATATGTTGTAGACAATAATATACAGTAGGCTATTCTGACTTTCTTGTATGTTCCTTTATTGGTATCTTGTTATTAACTGCCTTAAGGCTCATGTGTCCTTACTCTATGTATCATACAATAGAGGGCTCACTCATAATCTTAAGTACCTTCATTACAGATATCTTTAAAGTCAGGCTCCGGAGGAAAAACAATTTTTGATATGTTGTAGAACTGATTTTTCTAAGACAGAAAAAAAAGTTGTTTGACGAAAAAACTGGGGAATGGTGAATGAGATACAGATTTTTGAATATTTAAAAACTGGGGGGAAAAGGGGCGTAACTGCCCATTTTTGCACCTTATTCCCCCAGTTTTTAAATATTCAAAAATCTGTATCTCATTCACCGTTCCCCAGTTTTTCGTCAAACAACTTTTTTTTTGTCTTAGAAAAATCAGTTCTACAACATATCATTTTTTTTTCCTCCGTAGCCTGACTTTAACGGTTACAATTTCAAGGAATTTCCTAGAGAAGATTGTTAAACAAACGACGAACTTAAATTAAAGCCACGTTAATTAACAGTGTATGATCCTATATTTAGACCATTTTATATATTAGGACAGTTTGTATTCAGAAATAGAACACATTTTAATTTTTAAAAGCGTGTCTCGTCTAATATTGTTGCACCCGGATGTGTTTTATAATCTTTTTGCAGTAACTTTGACCAACAACTGTAATAATAATGTCAAATTAATAATAATTATAAATATTATAATATAAAGTTAAACATGAAAAGAATAATTTTCAGTTATTAAGTGTAACTATACAATATAAAGATTAAAAAAAATAATGAATACGTGTTGTCGTGTTTTCTGCTTTATTTAATGTTTGCATAATTATCTCTGTTTTTGTATTTCTTGTTTATCTTACTATACGTAGGCTGGCAGAAGTATTGTATACTACTTGGCTTTATATGGGTACGTAGACGCACTCCGGCGTGCATTGGAGAAATCACAAAATCGTGTCAATTGGCAAACCGAGGTATGGTATAAATTGTATCACAATAATTGTGGTACATTATTATATCGACTTTTATAAGATCTATGCGCTTACTATTCATAATACGTTGTTATTCAAATTAGAATTAGCAACCATCATATTGCCACTACTACAATTCCAGTGGCGTAGCTAGAGGTTTTGGCGCCCGGGGGAAAGAGTAGAAAATTGCGCCCCTTCCAACTAATTATAATTATAATATTGTGAAATAAATTTATATTGATTGTATAGGTTTTAAGCATATCCGTAGTACCGAACGTCCGTATCACGCTCTGTAAAAATAAGCACTGTTCTAGCTCTCAGGCCTAGTAGATTTTTTTTTTACCATGGCATCACTATTTGCCCGATGGTTGGTGGGAGGGGTGGTGACGATGCCCCAACGAGGGGGAAGATTTCCCTGACGAGAGCAAAGTTGGCGTGGTCGAGCGTCGCTTAAAATGTTCCGAAAGTGGTCTGGGTTGGGGGGGGGGGGGGTAGGGGCGCGAAGGGCCCGAAAGTTTTTGACAATTTGCGGGTTTCAAAGGCTTGTTTAATCGATTTTAGAGTCTACTAATATGTACAAAATACATATAATTTTTTTTTCTCCCCGACGAATTATGGTTATTTTCTCCCCGGTAGTAGTGGTGGTAGCAGCAGCAGCAGAGCAGCAGCAGCAGTGGTAGTAGTAGTCGTCGTCGCAGTCGTAGTGGTAGTAGTAGTCGTCGTCGCAGTCGCAGTCGTAGCAGTGGTAGTGGTATAGGCCTATATTAGTTTATAGAATGTTGTCTTTAATTAACATGTATTAGTATTTTTATAATTTATTTACAGTGGTATTGCTTATTGTATTATAGATATTTATTGACTATCCATAATGCATTTCATGACATATTTTGTTGTTATTTAAAGCCTCAGGTCTATTTCAGGCCATAGAGATGTTTCATTATACTGTACCCTGTATAGAATACAGTACAGTCTCAATACAGTTCCTTTATTTGTATTCATAAAAACAACCTACTTCCATGTGGAAACAAATGATACTCACTTGTTAAATACCACACTGCTGCGGAGGCCTATACAATACAACGAACCAACCATAACAATTATACCTATAGGCCCTACTGCTGTTTCAATAAAAGTTTACATCTTATTTTTTAGGAAAGCTTTGCAAATTTAAATTTGTTTATAATGAGCTCTTGTTTCACAAAAGTCAAATAATTTTGTGCTTCAGGGGGACGATACTCCACTACATGTGTTGTTACAGGGTAAGCACTCCTTTCGCATTCACCTACATGGCTTACAAGTCCTATTAGACGCTGGGGCAGATAGCAAGCTGAAGAACCAGGTAATAGTAACATTATATATATATATATATATATAAATGCAGTAATGCATCTAATGAAGTAAATAATACTTATGAACGACATGTTTCGACGTGTCCCACGTCATCATCAAGTAATAATGTTTATGCTACTAACGGTTTAAATACTAATTTTTGCTTGTTTCGTCTTACATCTGACCGGTAGTATATATATATATAAGAGACAGCGTTAACAATGCTTAATTATACATAAATCATCAAGGAAAGGTAAATACAGTGTTCGAATAAAGGACATGACAGTAAATCGTGTTACAAAGCTCTCAACGAAAATTGTTCTATAAATAATTAAATTTTGTAATAACTCCGACGGGATTCCAATCTACGACTTTTCGCTGTCAAGGCGAGCGTCATAACCATTAGACCAAAGAGGATTTATGGTTGGACAAATTCAAGTACCGGTTAGGTACACTCTATTACATAATAGGTACGGCTGGAAAGAAATAGTAGCATAATATAAATCAAGATAGCTGTTAACACTGTTTAATTATACATAAATCATCAAAGAAAGGTAAATACAGTGTTCGAATAAAGAGCATGATAGTACATCGTGTAGCATAGCTTTCAACGAATATTGTTCTGTAAATACATAAAGAAATTGTAATAAAATGCAAGAGGTACGAAACCCGTCAAAAGCATTTAATTACACAATTTCTTTATTTTTATAGGACAACATTTGGTTGCAGGTGAATTGAACCTATTAAAATACCCTAAGAGTACAAACACGCTGTAAGATTTATTTTTCATTTACTTAATAAATGTTTTTGTGATGTTTGTTACAGAACGGTCTAACTCCAATCGACGTGTATGTGCAGAATAAGTGTGATGAGTATGAAAATACAAATGCAATGAAACAGAAAGAAGAGATCTTGCAACTCCTTTACAGTAAGCATGCCATTTTTGGTCAACGAAGGGTCCTTGTCAAATAATTAAATGTCTTAGTAATTGAAATTTTCTCGTCAAATTTCAGAAACCTTAATACAATTGGTTGATTGTCGAATATATTGAAGTGTCAGTGCTTTAAAGAAGCTAAATTAAAATAAATAAGCCTAGAGTGCCCTAGGATCCATCTCGTCGATGGTCTTGAACATTCTTGTGCAGATCCGGATAATAGACGTATTTTTACTACAGAATAAACTCTTTCTAAGGCTTAATATTTTCCCTTAATTTTTGAATTCTAACGTGTCGTACTACCCTAACATCCAAATGTTCTCGCCCCCTTCTTTTGAGGTTTAATTTTCAGTTCATCTACCTCTAAACATTCCAAGATTTCACTACGAAAATGTGGCTTTTTTCACTAAGCCAATGCTTGTCTGATCATGGACATGATTTGACCAATCACAATAAAGCTAGATGAAAAGATAACTTAAAATGCTCGGTAACGAATACGAATATTTTGCGCGAATACTTACGATAGCATTTATTACCCAGGTTGGACATTTCGCTAGTTACGCCATTGATTAACGTACACCCGGCGTTCGATACGCCTAGCGTATCTCTCAGATTAAAACGTAGCCAAAATGAGGATAAAAATGACGGTGACAATAATAATCATTTTTTTTTTATATTAGGCGTCGCAGTTCCAGGAGAGGTATTGGCAAGAGGTAAACAAGCTCTGAGTGCGTTTAACAAAGATCTGGAAAAGGGACAAATCACAGTAAACCAAGTGCAGTTAGTAGGTATCGGTGGATTAGAAGGCATTGTAAAACCATTGATGCTGGATATTACAAAAATGTAAGTTTCTGATGTTTCTAATAATGATTTCTGAGTTATGTTACTAAATTTAGCTCCCCGATTCATATGTAGTATTGTACATAATTTTCTGATAAGCGCGATTAATAGTGACTGGTAATGATGCTGTAAGCACAAGCACACTAAACACCCTGCTTGAAAAACCGGGCATATATATATA